ATTCAGTTTTAACAAAGCCAATTAAAGATATTGAGACCTAAATGGCCAGATCAAAGTGGAATCCACGTCCCAAACTGGGTGAGGTTCTGCAAACCTCAGGCTCAGCTTGAAAACCCTCTATCTGCCCGTGCCTTTAGAGAAACCACCCCAAAACCCAAACCACAAACCCAAGAGCCTCTAAAAAACCCTCTCCCTCTTAATTCCCAGTGCCAGATATCTCTGCAGGGTCCAGTTTCCCCGTTCAGGAAGTGCCGACAAAATGTTATTTCCCCAGTCAGAAAACAGAAGGAGGCAAACAACTTACCGAGCTCCCAGTGGAGAGTCCGAACTGGATTGAAAGCTTTGGAAACGGGGGTTTTTATATGGTGGTTTTTATAGTCCTCCAGACCATGGAAAACCTGAGCCACTGTGTATCAAATCCTAATTAGCTGCAAGGTTGGGGGGAATTTATTCCTGTGCGACTTTTTTCGCTGGCTGCAATTATTGCCCTCATTTGTGCTCGTTAATACCTTGGTATCCCTAAATCCCAGGGAAAACACCTCACACCCAGCGGGTTCTTTTCATTGTAAAGCTTTATGGGAGAAGGAAAAGCCGCCTTTCATTCCATTGACCTCGTTGGTTACACCGAGAAATGGATCCTTCCCCTCTCAGAGCTGGACATGAGGCCGGGGAAGGGGGGGAAGGTGTGGAGGAAAAGCACCAACCCTGCTTTTGGTGGGGCTTAAAAACCACTCAGGGCCGTGTCCAGGGCTCAGCCTGTGCCAGATGGAGATCTGCTGGGAAGGTGGCAGAGCTGACTTTGTAAGGAATTGTGGCTTTCCCAAGGATTTAGAGCTTTGTCTGGGGTGCTGTGGTCCTACAGGGACCCTGGTTTGGGTAAAGCTGTGTTGGTGACATCTGGTTGGGTAGGCAAAAGTTGTCACCAGCTTGGACTGGATTATCATGGAATGATTTTGGGTGGGAAGGGACCTCAAAGATCATTTTTGTTCCACTGCCACGGGCAGGGACAACTTCCACTAGACCAGGTTGCTCCAAGCCCAATTCAGTCTGGCCTTGGGCGCTTCCAGGGATGGGGCAGCCACAGCTTCTCTGGGCAACCTGTGCCAAGGGAAGGATTCCCTCCTAAAATCCAACCTAAACCTCCTCTCTGTCAGTTCTGAAGCCACTCCTTGTCCTGCCACCACCTGCCCTTGCAAAAATGTTCCAGCCCAGTCACCCTGAAGCAGGGAGAGCTTTCGGGTGCTCCCATTATCTCACCCCACCATCATCCCAAGAGCTCCTGCCTGGCTCCCAGAGCTCAGCTGGGCCTGTGCTGCTGCTCCCTGTCCCCGCTGTGCCTCGTCCTTGTCCGTCAGAGGAGAAACTGTGATGTAATTAAGAGCCTTTGATGTCTCCAGACGCAGCCTCTTAAATTGGCTGGCGTTGCTCATCGCTGAGCTGGGACACCTTGGCTCATGTAAAACATTAATGAGCATTTGTGAGGAGTTTTAAGAGGTCCTGTTGTGCTGTTTAATAAGCTGTCAGTGCCACTCTTGTTTTATGGAGGGGTGTAAACACCTGTCCCTGCAATCACAGGAGTGTCTTCATTTATCAAAGATGAGGTGTCTCCATTTAGCAGCAGAACAAAGCTGAGGTGTGAGGTGACAACAGGCCCTGATACAGGTCATGCCAACGTGTTTATTCTCTTCTAAGGTAGTGCTTTACCTCCCTGATTTTGCCTCCCTGGTAAATATACTAGAGGTTCTAAGGGGGGAATGGAGTTCTCCTGGAATGGTTTGGCTTGGGAGGGACACTGAAGATCATCTCATTCCAACCCCCCACTCCTGCCACGGGGCAAAGGTTGGACTGGACGATCCTGGAGGTCTTTTCCAATCCAAATAATTGGTGATGCTACTTTGGGTGGTCTCAGGGATGCATTGGATCGTGGCTACCTGCCTGTTTCGTGGAACAGTTCACCCAAATGAATGTCATCAGAGATCTCCCTCCTCCTGTGCTGAGCTCTCGCTCGGTCCTTTTGAGGTTTCATCTCCGTGGATGATTTTTGTGCCTTGCATGGTTAGTTTTTTCAGGCTGCTGGGCTTTGATTCTTCGGCTACCCTGGTAGGTGGAGCTGACACAGGCCCAGCTCTGCTGTTTGTCTTCCTCCCTTGAGCTGCTGAGTCCTGGCTCCAGTTCCCCACCTGGCTCATCACTTTTATTTCCTCGCCCTCGTTAAAAAAACCATCCACGTGACGACAGCCAGTTGTGGGGAGCAACTAATGAGCTGTTGTGACGTGCTCTGGAAACGCTTTCAGAAAGCCTTGGCGTGGCTTGGCATCTCCACGTTCAGATAAATCCACCCTGCGGTGACGTGAACCCCGAGCAGCTTTGCCAGCAGGAAACAAACCCCCAGCTGTGTGGATTCCTCTCACTTCGGAGCAAAGGCCTTGGCTTTGAATTATTGATAAATCTCTAATGTGGGATTTAACATTTGGGTTTATCTTCAGCTGGTTAAAACTGGTAAATGAGGCATTTAATTCGGGGAGTTACTTCGGGGGATAAATCGCTGCCCAATCTAAGCTCGATCCAAGCACGTGTTGAAATTCCCTTCAATTATTAGTTGTGGCTGGAAGTGTCCAAGGCCGGGCTGGACAGGGCTTGGAGCAACCTGGGCTAGTGGAAGGCGTGGAAGGGAGCTGGAACTGGATGGTCTTGAAAGTCCCCTTCCCCACCCAACCCATCCCAGGATTCCAAGGTAGGAAAATGCAGAGCCAGTTTTCCCGAGGAGTTGCAGATCTCTTCTGTCATCCCCGGCCGTTGTGACATGGCTGAAGACAAACCTCAGCGTGCAATTGGAGGGGGAAACACGCCCCATGTGTTTCCCACCGCTGTGGAAGCCCTGCCTGACAATGCCACGGGCTCCAAGGCCTGCCCTCTGCTGCCAGCGCGATGATAAATCCCAAAAATCCCAGAGGAACCGGGAAGGGACCTCTGGAGATCACCCTTGCCATCCTTGCTGACTCAGTTGGGTGTCAGAGAAGGCTCCTCCACGTGCTGATGCTTAACAGGATGATAACCCCACTCCACTTTCGTCAGCAGTTGGGCCTCCCAAAAAGGCATCTTCCGCTTGTTGTTCCGCAGAGTTGCTGTTCCAGTGGCTTTTGGTGCCCTTTTATTGGAGAAGCGACTCGCAGGGAAAAATGCCTGGCGAGGCCTTGCCTCAGCCACACCCTTTTTATGGCCTTTTTTTGTCATCCCCCTAACCCAGGTCATGATTTGCAGCTTCACGAGGACGGGGCATTTAATTCCATAAAAAATGTTGTCTTGCCCTTCTTCCTTTTTTTTTCTTTAATTGGTAAAACGTGGTAAAGAAACGTGTGCTACTACAAGACCTGCCCTGCCTTCTTTTGGGGGGGGGCTACAGCTCTGTAAATCCAGGATTTCTGCACCGTGCCAGGCTTTGGATTAATCTAATTCCACACAGATAACCCAGAACACGGTTTATCCTTCCCTTCATCAGCTCTTCCTGGGCTGAGCTGAGTACGTTTTCACCCAGGAAAATGGCTCGTTATCACCTGCCCAGCCACCCCCAGGGAGGACATCAAGGATGAAGGAGGTGCAGAGTGTCCCCCCCCCCTCCACATGAAGCTTCGGAATTGCAGGATCAGGAAGGCGGCAAAGCACGAGGTCACACGAGGTCACACGAGGGGACAATCTAATAATTACAGAGGGTGATTTATTTAAACCAACTGACACCCATTACCCGGAGCTGGATCTCCGAAGAAACGTGCCAGGGGATTGATCAGGACCTTTCTGCACGTGGGTGATTCACACCAGGGCGAGTATAAAAGTACTCCCACATCAGACCTCGGGACATCGTCATTCCTCTTGCTCCTCTCCCGTGCTTGTGGGTAAGTGACCCCCCTCAGCTCCTCTCCTAACAAAGCCTGAGCGGAGTTTTAAGTCAGAATGTTCCTGGGATCAGCCTGAAGGTTCCTTAGTGCTCAGTGCTCTGGTGGAGTTGAGAAGGTGGTGGTGGCGGGTCAGAGGTTTGACTTGAGGGTCATAGAGGTCTTTTCCAACCTTAATGGTCCTATAAATGGATTGATCGGTGTTCAGCTGCTGGCTTTGGTAAATGCAAAGCTGGGTGAGATCCAAGGGCTGGACTGGGTGGTTCTTGTGGGGCCCTTCCAGCTCGTATTATTCCGTGATTCTGTCGCCAGCATTTCATGGAGGCTCTTTCCAGGTGGGTTCAACACGAGATTTGGAGGGGTTTTTGGGTTCAACACAAGATTTACAGTTTTTTTGGGGTTCAACATGAGATTTATAGGTTTTTTTGGGTTTAACACAAGATTTATAGGTTTTTTGGGGTTCAACAAAAGATTTATAATTTTTGGGGGGTTCAACTCAAGATTTATACTTTTTTTGGGTTCAACATGAGATTTATATTTTGTGGGGGTTCATCATAAGATTTATAGGTTTTTTGGGGTTCAACACAACATTCATAATTTTTTGGGGTTCAACTCAAGATTTGTAGGGTTTTTTTGGGTTCAACACGAGATTTATAGTTTTTTTTTTTTTTTGGGTTCAACACAAGATTTATAGACTTCTTTTGGGTCCAACCCAAGATTTATAGTTTTTTGTGGTTCAACACAAGCCAACAGTTTTTTGGGTTCGATATGAGATTTACAGTTTTTTTGGGTTCAACACAAGATTCGTAGAGTTTTTGAGATTCAACATGAGATTTGTAGTTTTTTTTGGGTTCAACAAGAGATTTATAATTTTTTGGTGGTTCAGCTCAAGATTTGTGGGTTTTTTTGGGTTCAACACGAGATTTATGGGGGTTTTTTTGGGGGGGTTCAACACAACATTCACAGCGTTTTTCCCGGGGCGCCGAGTTCCGAGCGCTCTTGCCCTTTTCCCTCGAGCCTCTCTGCGGTTCCTTCGGCCCGCCAGAACTGATGTTCCCATCTCCCTGCTCTCTCCTTTCCCCCCTCAGATCCACCCTCCCCCCAGCCACGATGCACACCCAGAGCCCCTGCACCGACGGCTCCGCCTCGCCCTGCGGGGTGGCCGCGCCCCAACCCGTCGCCGACAGCTGCAACGAGCCCTGCGTGCGCCAGTGCCCCGACTCCACCGTGGTCATCTACCCCCCGCCCGTGGTCGTCACCTTCCCTGGGCCCATCCTCAGCACCTTCCCCCAGCAGAGCGTGGTGGGCTCTGCGGGAGCCCCCGAGGTCGGCGCCGGTTTTGGGGCCGCCCGCACCCCCGGAGCTTCCCACGTCTACGGCGGCGCCCGGTGGGGTCGGGGGTACCCCGTGGGGACCTGCAGGCCCTGCTAAAGCCACCAGAGGGTCTCTCTGCTGAGAGGAGAGGACCAGCAGGGTGCAGGGACGTGGCTCTGAGCTCCGGGGCACGGCGTTTTGAGTGGAAGAGTTGAGTGTTTGGGGAGGGTGCACGAAAAGCATCTGTTGATGTAAATCCATTTACAGCCCTCTCAGATTGCCCTGCCTGATTTTCTTTTTTTCCTGAGCCTTCCTGTCTTTCTGGGTGCTCTGTTCTTCTGTGGTGCTGATTCCTTGGGGATCTTTCTGGCTTTCAACCGACAGAGAACAGGTTTAGCTTAGATGTAGTGAAAAAAATTCTTCCCTGGGTGGGTGGTGAGACCCTGGCACAGGTTATTCCATGGATTCCCCATCCCTGTGTGTGTGTTCAAGGGCAGGTTGGATGGAGCTCAGCCTGGTCTAGTGGAAGGTGTCCCTGCCCTTGGCACTGGGGTGGAATGGGATGAGCTTTAAGGTCCCTTTTAACCCCAACTGAGATGGTCTTTAACCCAAACCACTCTGTACTTCTATGATTGTGACAACCTAAATGGATCCAGCACAAGATCCCCTTTAGATCCCTCTGTAGGCTCTTTCTGTGGCTCCTGATGGATAAAAAAAAAGGGTTGTGGTGTCAACCAGCCCCGTGCAATGTGCCAGGGCTGAGTGTCCCCACAGGGGAAAGCAACATCATCAGCCCTTCCACGAGTCATCCTGCACCCAAACCACAGGCCGTGGGCAATTTGTAACCCGTGCTTTGTCATCCTGCCTCTGGTATATCAGCTGCTTCTCCCTCATTAAACATGACATTGCAACATGTTGTTGGCCTCTGTGTGTGTTCTCTCCTCCCACCTCGTCCAGGTCCTGCTGCACCAGCCTGATCCTATCAGGATAATGATATTCCTGAGGGATTTGGCAACGGGGTTGTCTTGTGCACCTCGGCTCTGGGGCTGTGGGTGTCCCTTCCCTTCCCTTCCCTTCCCCCAGTTCTGGTCCTGCTCAGGCTCTGAGGAGCTTTTTGCTCAGCCTTGGCTCTTCTGGCACCTGTCCTTTGGTGTCCTCAGGCTCAGCCTCCCCGGCCAGGCGGTGACACGGCAGAGCAGATGGATGTGCAAGGGTTGGCGTTACTAAAAAGAATCTGCAGCCAAACGTTATGTAAGAAGAGCAGCTATTTTTGAGCTTAAAAAAAAAAAAAAAAAATCACATTTCTGGCTTTACTGCTCTGCTCAGTGTTTTACAGCAGTGCCCGAGGTTGGAAAAGACCTCCAAGGTCATCCAGCCCACCCTGTGTCCCGTCCCCACCTTGTCACTCAGTGCCACTTCCAGTCCTTCCTCGGGCACCTCCAAGGGGTGGGCTCTCCAAACCTCCCTGGGCAGCCCCTGCCAAGGCCTCACCACCCTTTCCATGGGGAAATTCCTGCTGATGCCCAACCTGACCCTCCCCTGGCACAGCTTGGGGCCGTTCCCTCTCCTCCTGTCCCTTTTTCCCTGGGAGAAGATCCTGACCCTCACCCAGCTCCCCCCTCCTGTCAGGGAATTCCAGAGCCAGAAGGTCCCCCTTGAGCCTCCTTTTCTCCAGGCTGAGCCCTCCCAGCTCCCTCAGGAGTTTCTCCAGCCCCTTCTCCTGCTGCTCCAGCCCCTTCCCTTCCCTTCCAACCCCTCCATGTCTTTCCTAAAGTGAAGGGCAACGATAGAAACCGGGTGTGCAAAACTGGACTTGGGTGATGTTCACCCAAGGAATTATCCCTTTCTTCATGAACCCACTGATCATAAACCCTTCACGAGCTTTCCGTGCTGTGCTCTTGTTTGAAATGTTGTGTGGTGCATTAATAAAAGAACCAGGGGTAATTAAGCTTTGCGAGGTGACAGGAGAGTGTGGGATTAGTTCCGAGCATTATGTGGAGAATTATTGTCCTCGTGTGTGAGGAAAACAAAGCTGGCCAAGGCACTGTAAGGGTGTGCAATTGGCTGTTGGTGAGTTCTGGAGGAGGTGATCAAACCAGGTTCTCCCCAGCCCCAGAAATCCTTCCCTGCATGAGAGAAATCCCCCAAACCCCCCAAAGCCAGAGGAAGGGACCTTTATTTTCATGCTAAGGGTGCGTTTGGGAATGAGCTGCAGTTTGCACTTTCCGTGGCTCAAGCTGCACTTTCCGTGGAATATTTTGAGATCTTCAGTTAGCACAAAACAGCAGAAATCGCTAAAAGAGGGAAAATTTGCCTGTGTTTATTTTGGGGACTATTTATGCTCCTCTTTTATTCTAAACATAAAAAAAAAACCCTACTCATGTGAACTGCCCTGAGGACTAAAGATATCAAGGAGCTTACTAAGCAGATTTAATGACTTTTTTAAGACAGAAGTGTTTGCTGATGTCTCTTAGGTTCATTATGGAACCTAATTATTGGGGTTATCAATAATTATGGGTTAACAATGCTCATCTAAATATGCTGAATTTTGAAAACCTCGTTCCTCTCGCTGCTTCCAACAAGGCCTTTTTTTTTTTTTTTCTTTTTCCTGTTCCACGTCCCACTTTCCCTTCTCTTGAAAGGCTGCACTTTTTTAAGGAATAACTGGGAAAATGAGCCCAGTCTGGGCCCTAGTCAGGGGCCTGATTTCTCATTTAGGGACAGGCTTAGCCTTTAAAAGGGATTCTCAGCCTTGCAGTGAATCTCTGCTCTGGAGGCAGGTCCTGAGGCACCACCTGTGTGGGTTGTTCCCTAAGGTGCATTTAAATTTCCCACAGTGCGTGCAGTAAATACATCCTGCTGGGACTGGTACCCAGGAAATTACAGGAGGTGGTTTTTCTGTTAGTTAAATGAGGCAGCTGTCATCTGTTATGATAATATCTCAGCCGGGAACAGAGTTCCTCTAATCGTCCACCTTTTCCTCAGCCCGAGGGCACGAAAGAATTGCCAGATTTAGCCTCTGAAAGGGGCCTGCAAGGAAGTCAAGGGGGAAATGGTCGTGTGGAAGTGGGTGACAGGAAAAGGGGGGATGGGTTCAGACTGCCAGAGGGGAAATTTAGGTTGGATATCGGGAAGGAATTCCTCCCTGTGAGGGTGGGGAGGCCCAGAGAAGCTGTGGCTGCCCCTGGAGCCCTGGAAGTGTCCAAGGCCAGGCTGGAGCAACCTGGGGTAGTGGGAGGTGTCCATGCCCATGGCAGGGGATTGGAATGAGATGGCCTTTGAGGTCCCTTCCAACCCAAACCATTCCATGATTCCATGACATAAACCCAGGGAATGTGTAGGAGAGACTCAAAGCTTCCTGAGACAGTGGGACAGATCCATGGGAAATGAGCATTGGTACTGTTGGCTGATGCTTGGGGGGCCCTGGAAGTGGTCTGGGCTGGAATTCCACACAGATATGGGACTTCCTGAACCACCCTGATGTGCTGGAAGGAATAGGTAATAAAGGGATGCAGTGTCAGTTAAAAGCAGATCACCCTGTGGTCGGGGCATCTGGGGTGACAAACTGCTTTTCCTCCCTGCCTGGGCTCCAGCATTCCCAAAAGCTTGACCTGCAGCAGAGGAGGAGATCCTGGATGTTCCCTGGATCCCTGGAGGGACTGAGCTTGCTTGGCTGGGAGGCTGCGGGGAGGTGCATCGGGACACCCCCAGCGCTGAGTGGGAGCCCCAACCGGAGCCGTGACACCTTCAAAGCGAAAAGGGGACGTGAGGTGGCACCCAGGTGGCTCCAGGTCAGCCTTGTGGAGGGAGGTGAAGGCAGGTGAAAGGTCTGGGAGGGCTGGGGCTGGCAGGAAATCACCACCCCTGGGTCGTGTTCCCCAGGCACCGGGTGGGAGTCGGAAGCGAACGAGCCGAGGGGGACGTCGCAAGGGAAGAACCACCATAAATCATAAATAACGCTGGGTTGGCAAACATGGACAGGGACTGGGGTTAAACTGGGGCCAGAGGACCCTGGGGCAGGCTGAGAATTCCAGCCAAACCTTTGGCTTTCCGGGTTCTCTTCCTGTCCTCGCTGCCGAAGCCCATCCGCGGGTGCCGGTGGGAGAAGCCCTGCGAGCCCCAAGGAAGATAAACTGGATTTTATGATGTTGGGAGACTCCACCATTTCCTAATGTTTTCCCCGGGGAACCCAGCCCATTTTGCTGCTGACAGCAGCCAGCAGGAGGATTACTAAACACCTCTTAATGGCTTTGCAGTTTCAAAGGGTTGCTCTGATTTACGGCGGACATGCCCTGCTGGGAGCTTTGGGTGGAGGTTCCTAACACTGACCCTCTTCCTGGGGCGCCCTGATCTGGGCCTGTCTTGCTCAAATTAGGACACCAAGAGGTGGTTTCTGAGGCAGCAGACCCGACCTGTCTCTTGGATGGAATTGTGGAGCTCATCATCTGCTGCCTTCCAGTTCAAGGTCCAATAATTAAAGTGAAATCAATGATACGGATGGAAAGAAATGGATGTTGGGTTGGAGAAACAGCATTTGCTGCTTGGGGACTACTCTGTTCACTGTCCCTGGTTTTCTGCCCCATGAAGGTGCTTCTCCAACCTCCTCCCTTAGCTCTTTTCTTGACCCTTTCCTCCACTTTGCTCTGGAATGCAGAAATGCTTCTGCAGGAGGCCACCATGAGAAGAGAAGGTGACCCCTCACAGTCACTTCTGCATCAAGATTCGTGACTCCTGGTGATGCCTTTGATGTGTCGCTGGGCCTTGCAGGGGATCTGAGCAGCTCTGTCTGGGCTCTTTCCTGCTGAACCACCTTGTTCTGCGCCAGATGATAATCTTTGGTGCTCCAAATCTAAATCAGGACTCCTCAGTCTCCTAAGGTGACACGCTGAAGGCTGGCAGGAACTCCCTGAAGAACCTGGCTGTTCAGTTTGCAAAGGAGATGATCCCTCCAACAGATGGTTGCCTTTGGTCTTTCCTCTCAGGTGTCTTTGACCTTGAGCGTCACTGCCTTGGCAGACCACGAGATTTCCACTCAATCTCCTGCTTTTTGAGATCTGTTGCTCAAACAAACCCCCCTTCACCCCCCCCCCCCAGCTTTGCTCCAGGAGTCTGTGTGTTTTAGGGGTACAGTCAGTCAGCTGATGCCCCTTTTTGGAGAAGAATTTGGGCAAGCCCAAGGTCAAGGGATAGTTAAGGTAGAACTTCCTCCTGCTTGGGGAAAATGAGTCAGGGCAGGAGCAATTCAGGTGGAGATGTGGTGGTTGTCTCCAACACCTGGAGTCTAGACTTCCCTGTTATTCTGTGGCTCTTTGGAGTGGCTGGTGGTCCTTTTTAATCCCAGACAAAGGAAGACCAGACACCTGATCCAGCTAAGCAGAGTAATTTTATTGACAATGAGAAACAGTGAGTAACAGAAAGAACAAGTTTGAAGAGATACCAAAGGGTCTTCAGCAAGCAGAGAGTTTCTGATGGCGGGTGATGTTTTTTCTGGTGGAAATGGTGGAGTTTGCCAGTGCAGAACACGTTTCTTGCTCTCAGAGTTGCTTGGGAGTCGCGTTCACTGCCAGAGGAGGCACAGCGTGGCCATTTAACAGGAGCTTCTCAACCAGACGTCATCTTTGGTGAAGTTAAAGGCTGAGCAAAGCGGTTGCAGAAACTACTACTACCACTGTGACAATACAAAGGGGTTGTGAATTGAAACCTAAAGTCACTTTGCTCACACCCAAAGTCCTGCTCTGCTCCCCCAACAGGCTCTGAAGGTGCCTCAGCTCTCGCTGCAGTTCAAGTTGCCCTTTGGAGTGACAGTCGAAGAAATAGGAGACGTTAAGAGAGGGTTACACATGGAGTAGTTACACATGGAGTAGTTTCAGGCAGCCTGGCACCCACGTGTCCCCCTGCACTCAGCCAGGGGGCTGTGGGCGCTCTCAGCGCCAGAAACCAGCCGTGGATCCGTGTCCTTGCCTTCCAGTCCTCAATCACCATTCCATCTTCAGAAGAACCTGCCCCCGAAGCGGGAGGAGAAGGGGTACCCGTACCCGAACCCGTACAGGTCCCCATACCCGTAAGAGCCCCCGTAGCCAAGGAAACCCCTGTTCCCATACAGGTTCCCAAAGCCTCTGTAGCCGTAGGGGCTCCCATATCGGAACCCATCACAGGAGTAGCCGAAGGGCCTCCCAAATCTGAAGCCGCTCAGGCCCCCGAAGCCGTAGAGGTCGTCGTACCCAAACTGGGAGTAGCACCCATCGTCGTAGAAGTCCCTGTAGAAGGTCATGGTTTGTTGATGTTGGCGAGGCTGAAACACACCCCAGAAATGAGGTTTATGGGCTGCTGGAGGAGATGCAACTCCTTCCCTCCCTCGGCATCATTTTCGCCCTCTTAATTATCTAATTTATTTTTCTAAGCTTCCCGAATCCCAAACAACTTCTCTACATTTTTTTCCCCCTGCTCAGCTCTCTGAAATCGCTGACTGAACATGGAGAAGAAGGTTTCTTGCCAGCCAAGAACTGAACTTTCCCACTCCAGAATTCAGAGGGATTTGAATAAACTAAAGAAAAATGTACAAATACAATCCAGAGCTGGAAAGCACTTCTGGCTTCAAGATTACGGTAGAAAACTTCAAGTTTTCAGCCCTTTAAAGCCTAAATATTCAATAAGCACAGGAAAGAAGAGCACAAAAATTCGAGTGAAGGAATTCCCTGATTGTTGCAGGGAATTTTGTGGTTGGAGTTCGCTCCAAGATGACAAGAAATTGCTTACAGAATGTCTGTACCTGTACACAGGCCATAAGTCGTATATACATGGACACACCAGTACCTTTTATATATATAAATATATATATATAAATTCACCTCTAAATATACATCTATTTTTATATCTATCCAAGCACACACACAGATATTCAGACAAACATCAAGACACAACAGTCAAGCCAGGATTGACTTACCCGCTTCACCCAGGCAGGGAGCAGTTGAGTGGCTGAGAGGAGCGAATGAAACTCCCCACTTGGAGGTCCCTATTTATACCTTGCCCAGCTCCAGAGCTATCCAGGATATCTCATCAGACCCCCTTCATCCCTCCAATTGGCGTCGCCCAGCGGGACGTGCGTCACCCCTCCAGAATTTCTTTAATCTTAAAAAAAAAAAAAAATATGAGGAGAAACGGGCTCGGCACATCTCTAGGAAAATTGCCGGTGGAATTCCCCCCGCGGTCGGAAGGCTGGGGAAATAATTTGGGCAGATATATTTATTTTTTTTTGTTGTTGTTGTCAGACCATTTACCCGCTTGCGCAATCGCCTCGTGGGTGCTCTCGCTCTCTCCGCTGGCTTGGCTTCGGCGTCTTGTGGGCGCGAACGAGCCGGGGGGACCAAAGGAATAGGCTGGGCTTTGGTGTGATGAGGAGTGAGGGAGCTCCCAAACATCGCCGTGACCTCTATCTGCTTCCCACTGACGTCCCTCCCCAGCAGCTCTTTGGGATTTGGGTTGTACAACGTCCAAGACGTTTTCCAACTGCCCCGTGGACGTTCCCAAATATCCCTTCCTATTTTAGAACTTTTTTTTTTTGGAGGGGGGGACAGGGGGGTGGTTTTTGACTTTCAAGTAGCACCTTAATAGGGCTCAGGAACAAGAGACCTTGAAGTGCCTTGGAAGTGAGCGTGTTATTAAATCTGGAGGTGTCTTTTCGGTGACAAGCTATTAATATTTAAATCCTGCAACACTTTGCAAATTGAAAACATTAATGAGTGTTTATGAAGGGCTTTGGTATTCAGAATTCTGAGGAAGCCTCAGCATCCTGTTTGCTCATTATTGCGCTTATTTTCCATTCAAATTAATGCCAGGAACGAGGTGAAGGTCACACAAGGAGCTCTGCCGTGAACTCCGGCGTTCCTGGAGTTGGATACACGTGGCTGATTCTTTGTGGAAAAAAAACAAACAAACAAACAATGTGATTCTTTGGAAAACAGCATTTAGAGCTCTTTTAGTGCTAATATTTAGAATTTCTTTATTTCCACCTCAAGCTCACACTTGAATTCTCCCCCTTGTTGTGCTGTGGTCAAGCCCTTTGGTGAATTCACGTGTTGCAAACAACGCCAGAGTTGTAATTTTGATTGAAAACGCTCATTCTGCTCGTGCAGCGACATGACTTCGATTCATGAGCACTTTGGAGGAATGGAATTAAGATTTATGTGTAGTTCTGGCTGTTTTTCCTCAAGCTGCTGAAGTTTAATATGAAACTCCTTCATCTACATTTACATTTCCCTTAAGTAAAAAGCCTGTGTTTTGTTGCATCAGTTTCCGGTGAAACCCAAATATCCAACACATGGAAAAATTTTCCTTTTTTTTTTTTTTTTACTGAAAATTCCTCTCTCTCTCTCTCCAATGTCCTTGAGGAGGCAGAAATGACTTTTACGTTGCACAGAAATAAACTTCCGTTTTTCACAACCCAGGCAATAAAATGGTATCAGGAATGTCGCCGGCCCAGAAAATCGGAAGATGAAAGAAACCTGTAATACATGTGCCATACGGGAGGCTTTGGGAACACACTAATAATCCCAAACAATGGAGAAAATTACATTAATTGAAGATATGACGTGGACAGGCAAATTTGTTTTTCCAACCAATAAGGCAACAAACCTTTTTGAATACTCAGGGCGTCGGAGATAAGCCAGGAGGGCCAAGAGGGAGTATAAAAAGGGCTGGGAGCTCAAGGCTCCTCATCAGCTCCTTTGCCTTCCTCCTCCTGGTGAACTCGGTGAGTTTTCCCTCCTTCCCTCACAGGGATTGGGAATTTTTGCCTCTGTGGTTTCTGCTGGGATTGGGGCTCCTCTGAAATTTAAGGTTTCTCCGGGAATTTCTCAGAACTTTAGGTTTCTCCAGGAATTTCTCTGAAATTTAAGGTTTCTCCAGGAGTTTCTCTGGAGTTTAAGGTTTTAGCTGCGCTGCAGGAATTTTGGTGGGTTCCAGTTTTAAAGCTGGGGGTGAAACGGGTCCTGTTGGCACCTGAGGCTCCCTGATAAAGGATTATTAGGGCAGCAGAGGTAGAAATGGGTTTCACCACCAATTTTTTTCCCCCTAAATCTCCTATTTTAAAGGGAGATCTGCAGCTCTGTTTGGCAGGGCAGGTGTTCTCAGGTGTATTAATGCTCCGTGGGTTGTTGTCTGTGCCGTCAGCGCTTCCCGATGCAAATCCAAAAATGGGTGGAAACCACTGAAACGGCACTTGGAGGGATGAGCCCAAACATCACTTTGGGCTTCCTTGAAGTCTTCCTTGATGGGAGGTTTGGGAATGCAGAGTTTTTGCTCCACGCAAAGCTGGTGTCCTGAAAGACTTTTAGGGTCGTTCACTCCTAATATTCTCTAAGGAAAACCCTGAATCAGCAGCAAGGTTTTGGTCGGGAACAGCTGATTCCACGCTCAGAAAGTGAGAAAACCAAATGGTTTAAAGACAGACGGTCCTTTGCGGGTCCCCTTCCAACCCAGCACCTTGGTGGCATCCTGTTGGCCAGATGAGGAGCTGGTGGGAACGGGCTGTAAGGAGGACCAGCCCAGGTCGCCGATTCGGGAATATTTACAACTCCCCCTTCCCTCCCTGCCGCCAGGTTTGCCTCCAGTTCAGCAAGATGACCTTCCTCCAGTGTGAAGACGACTGCTACTCCCCCTGCAGCTACGGGGGCCTCTACGGCTACCGGGGCTACGACGGCGGCAGCTCCTGCGGCTACCGCGGCTACTACGGCGGCCTCTACGGCTACCGCGGCCTCTCCGGCTTCGGCGACCGCTACGGCTGCGGGAGCCTCTACGGCTACCGGGGCATTTATGGCTCTGGGGACTGCTACGGCTATGGGGGTCTCTATAGGGGCTTCTACGGCTCTGGGGACTGCTGTGGATACCCCGGTTTTTACTCGGGCCGCTACGGTTACCCCTACCGCTACGGCCAAAGGTTCGGCTACGGCGGGTGCTACAGCTGCTAAACCCGGCCTTGGGGGTGAAGATCAACCCAAACCTGGCGAGCAAGGGTTGGTGGAGAGCCTTTGGCAGCAGACGTTGCGCAGAGCCCTGGGGCTGTCAAGATTCAAGAGCTCTGCGCCGCCCCTGAAGCGCTTAGGGTGATCCCTCCTCCGTTCTGCCGCCACCCAAAGTCTCCTCCTGACCTAGAACTTGCTCGTCCTCGGTGCTCCAGCCCTCATAAACCGGCTCTGATGTTGGTTGGCAGCACCTGAACTCTCGACTGGGTGGTGGGCAGGGTGTAAAGGTGTCTTTGGGAACGTGGTCTTTCCGTCCTGTGTCTCTTTGTAAAGTATATCTGCCTTTCACTCGCATTAAAAACTTACTCTGCATCAGCCCTGCATTTTCCTGGTTTTATTTTTCCACTTTGTTCTCTGAAATATCTTCAAATCCACGGCAGCAAACAGTGATAAATTTATTAACTCCATGTGCTTAAGGACTTGCCTGTAGAGACTTGTCCTCCTCAGGCGGGAAACGGGGACTTTTGGAGCTGCAAGAAACTCGAGCTGTGGCTCTGGATTTGCCTGTTCCTGCAACTCCAGGCTTTTGGCTCGGTGGAAAAATAAGTGAATCATCTCAAGATGCTTCGGTGCTGCTGCTGGGCCAGTGTGGTGTGATTAGGACGTGACCTTCCCCCCCCACACACACACACTGCAGATTTTGTTCTGCTCAAATGGATTTTCTTCTGGTCTGTGTGGAAGGTCGAGGCGGTGGTTTGAGCTTTTCCAAGCCACCACTTCCTTCTTGTCCCTTTGCCCGTTGATTCGAATATAGATTTTTATTTTTTCTTGTGTTTTCCTGGCTGACAATGCAATTAAGCTGGAATGTGATAGGAAATTGGGACTCTGGAACATTTGAATTTGGCTTGCAGGAGTAGGACAATATTCTGCTCACTTGAACAGTTTTCTATATTCTCTGTGCAGGTCTGGGACTAATTCTTTTCTATTTTGCAACATTATTATAAAGACTATTACAGCCCTATTGTGCTGAAATATTAACTCCACCCCGGGCAAAACCAGCCCTTTTAACCTCAAATCTGGTAATAGTTTAATTAAGTAAATGAAAGGGAGAAACTGGGGCATTTCTTGCATTCCTGAGGGGTAAAAGAGAAGAGAAGGGTGTATTTACTGGGACCTCAGCCGACTGATTTTCCAGATCCTTCCCCAGCTCTGTTCCCTCTGCTGGACATTTTTGAGCCCCTCATTGTCTTTCTTTCCATGAGGAGCCCAGAACAGGACACAGAACTCGAGGTGCAAACACTTTGCCGGCTCTGGGGACAGAAAGTCCCTTTCAGGATGTCACCACTCAGTAAAACAGGGACAGGGGCAAGAAAACAACCGGATCTCCAGGGTTTTTTTAAATGCAGAAAGACAGACTTTAATGCAGCAAGAAAAGGAGTTGGCACAGATACAGAAAGATTATAGTTTTGGGATACTGGAAGGAGCTACAGGAGGTGAGTCACTGCACTGGAGAACATTCCTTCTTGTTGGAGCCCATGTTGTTCATCCTCCAGGTGCTTGTAAATCCAGATCAAAGGCGAGACAGCCGTAATCCTGCTCCATTACAGTCCTGCAGCACCTCGCTGGAAGTGCTTATTGAGCATGCAGATGACCCAAAAAAATCTCATATCGAACAGGTCCTTCAGAGCAGCTGCGAGGAGAGGAGTTCTACCGGAATTGCAGATCGTCCCTCCCGTTGCTGGGAGGGAGTTTAAACACAGGAGGCCACCAGGAGGGCTGGGAAAGGCAGGGAGAAGCAGACAGAAAGAGCGAGACAGACGGAAACCCCGAGGGATTTCAGAGCGCGGCCGAGCTCCGCGTTCTTGGCGACGTCGGGTGCCATCGCGGGGGCTCGGCGGGCGTCTGAAGGTCCCTTTGGAAGATCAGCCATGGGTCTGGGGTGGTGCTGGGCCTTGCTGGAGGGGCTGTGGTGGGTTCAGCAGCAGCAGGAGTAGCGGCAGCAGGAGGGGTAGCAGTAGCGGGTGGTGCGGGAGCGGTAGCCGCAGCGGCGCAGGGTGCGGTAGATGAGGGGGCTGCAGCAGCTGTAGGTCCTGGAGCAGCTCACGCTCCGGTAGCAGGGGGAGCAGCAGCACAGGGTGTAGCAGGGGGAGCAGCAGCAGTAGGACATGGTGGCGGGGTGGTGGGTGGAGGGAGGGAGGGCAACCTGAAACAGAGCGGGAGGTCGGGGTTAAAGCTCGGCTTGCAGGGATCGGTGAAGGGGGGAAAGTCGGGTGGAAACACCGAGCAAATCCCTTGGTTTGGGCGTGATTCTCATTTCAGAGGATCATTCTCACCTCGCTGAGGTTGGAAAAGACTTCCAAGAGTCCGTCCCTGTGCCCCATCCCCAGCTTGGCCCCCAGCCCAGAGCACTCAGTGTCCTTCCTCGGACACCTCCAGGGGTCGGGACTCCCCCACCTTCCTGGGCAGCCCCTTCCGAAACCTGACCCTCTTTTCCATCAAGAAATTCTTCCTGAAGAAGAAATGTAGTGTTTTTGTGGGGGTTTGACGCCCAAGCTCCCAGCACAGGCAACTGTAAACCCCGGGGTAAACCCCGAGCTCAGGATAAGATGTTTATGTGTCCTAAGTCTGACCTGGATCCCTCACAGCACTTCCAGGAGTTCTTAGAAGTGTTTATACACCACACAACAAGTTCATTGAAGTCTCAGCCCTGCTTGTCTGGCTTTAATCTTGGCATATAAACTATCCCTCCTCCTGTCTAACTTTGTTAGTGCCAGTTCTAGCAAGGACACTGAAAATCCTCTGTTGCAGGGTGAAGGTTTAAATCCCGTATTGCTGCAGGTCAGAGCTGCCCCAGTGACTCCAGAGACACTGAAACAATCCGTGTGACCTGTCCATACCCATTACTGCAACACCTTCCCAACCCAAAGCCATTTCCTCCTCGTGCAATGGGCAGTTCTGCCCACAAACGAAAATCTCAGGGGTTAAGCATCACCAGGTCAAAAAAAGAAACACAGAGAACTTCATGCCCACTCATCAAAACGCCCTCCAAATTCAAACATCCAGGACAAAACACCTGGATTTGTCCCTGAGTTAAAGGAATCTCAATGAGAACGGGATCTGGACTTACCAAGTTCAGAGAGAAGAGTAAAGCAAGAGGAGCTGCTTGAGGAGCACTGGGGCTGTGAGCATTTTTATATTCTTTCTTAGACCCGTGGAAGTCACCCCAGTTCTCCGGGGTGGGGGGGGGGAGTCACGAGACCAATTTGGGAAGTACATCAGCAGCCCAATTGCTATAATTGTTTTCTTCCCCCCCCTTTTTTAGGCCAATTTTCCACATTCCTGGAACGGGGAGGGCCTGGTGATCACACCCTGGGAGATTCTTTCTGTCTGAAAACCTTCCAGGACAAAAGGGATTCCTAGAAAATCACCCCCCAGAGGACAAGTGGGGTGGAACCTGGAGGCTGCACAGAGCACGGATTCTGCAGGTTCTGCCCCTGCAGAGGAGGTGGATGCTGCACATTATGGGGTCATGCAAAACACCCGGGGAGGGAAGGAATATCATCCGACCTGCTCAGGGCTCCCTTCCGACCCTTTTGATTCATTTCCGCCACAATTAATGACAGACGTGCCATTGATTCTTTCAGCTCCTTCTGCTGCCTATAATTTATCCGGCGAGAATGGCCAGGCCCAGGCACGGGGATCAATTAAATCAGCATCTGAGCAATGTGGTCGAGGCTCAAAGTCTGGTTTTCTTGCCTCTTTTCTGGGTGACGTTACTAGAAAGACTTTCCTGGGTGACGTCAGAGACATCGGCGAGGTATTTATGGCGTGTTTATATATCTGAGATTCTGCCCCTCTGCTCCCCTCTGCTGAGGTCCCACCTGGCATGCTGAGTCCAGCTCTGGTGGCCCCCGACATGAGAAGGACGTGGAACTGTTGGAGCGAGCCCAGAGGAGGCCACGAAGTGCATAAAGGGTCTGGAGCGTCTCCCATATGTTCAGCCTGGAGAGGAGAAGGTGGTGGGGAGACCTCAGAGCACCTTCCAGGGTCTGAAGGGGCTGCAGGGAATCTGGAGGGGGATGTTCATCAGGAACTGGGGTGACAGGACAAGGGGAGTGGGTTCAAACTGACAGAGGGGAAATTTAGGGAATATTGGGAAGAAATTTGCCCCCTGTGAGGGGTGGGGAGGCCCTGGCACAGCTGATCCAGGGATGTCCCATGGCCAGGCTGGAGCAACCTGGGCTAGTGGGAGGTGTCCCTGCCCACGGCAGGGGGTTGGAATTAGGTGATCTTTAGGATCCCTTCCAATCCAAACCATTCCAGGATTCTACAAACGTAACACTGGGCCGAGGATCCGGTGCCGCAGAACCAAATCTGGGCTTCCTGATGGTCCATCAGTGGAGAAAAGAGGGAGAGCAGTTTTTAGGAAGGCTGGGGAAGCCAGGGGGATGGAGACCACGTGTTCCTGACTGCTGGAAGCTGAAGGGTTGGGGGGGTGGCTGCTCACTCTGTGCCCCCCTCACTTCCCAAGGTGGCTGCGGGAGGGATTTTCCCGAGCCAGGGAAGCGGGAATCGCTTCCCTGATTTCCCTGTTGGTGGTTTTTACACCAGTGCCCCTGTCAGCCCGCACCAAGTGATGCCATGGCTTAGTTTTAATTAAACAAAACCTCGTTAGCCCAGGGGCTTCCCTTCCCCTGCTCCATCCGCTGTGCATCGAGGCCCCTCTCGGCAGGAACCATCAGTTTTTAAATCACACAAACATTGCCAAAGTAACTCCTAATGACTGTTTTGGAAGAGCACTGATACCATAAATTCTGAGGAGGCTCAGCACTTCCAGAAAATGCCTGTTATTATCCTCATTTAATATGCAAATGAGGCTTGGCTCACGTCATGGAAGGTCAAACGAGGAGGTATTTGTCGAGTCGGGGGAATAAAAAAAAAAAAGCCTCTTGGCTTCGTGTTGGGCTCAGAGGTGGGGTTGAAAACCAGCATCAGTAAGTTTTTGCTG